TCTTTCTTTCTTTCTTTCTTTCTTTCTTTCTTTCTTTCTTTCTTTCTTTCTTTCTTTCTTTCTTTCTTTCTTTCTTTCTCTTTTTTTGTGCATGCCTTCAAATCAGTCTTGACTCTTGGTGACTGCCTGACTAGTTCCTACAGTTTTCTGGCAAGATTTCAGAAGTGGTTTGCCATTGCCTGCTTCCTAGGGCTGAGAGAGAATGACTGGCCCAAGGTCACCCAGCTGGCTTCATGCCTAAGGCAGAACTAGAACTCACAGTCTCTTCCTTTCTAAGCCTGGTGCCTTAACCACTACATCAAACTGGCTCTTAGACTGTCAATAATTTTAGCCAATACTATACAAATACCACTGTATTGAAATAATATAATGTATTATAGAAATATAATCAATATAATAAAAAAAGAAAAATGTAAAATCATTGATAAAAATACTGAATTTGATTAATGGATGCACTTCTAAAGACATTTTGAAGACTATGGAGTTACTAAACACACCATGCCCTAAATCACACAAGAAACCATTCACCAATCATAGTTTTGATAGATGAATGGTTGTGATAGATTGTTTTGATAGATGGCTAGATTCATGGGTTTGGAATCTCTCAAAAATTGGTCATGGTTTTGCTCCCCATTTTGTCTGTACAAAGCCACTATAGGCTTGTCAAAACAAAGCAGAAGTGAGTTTTGTAATACTCTTGCTTAGCTTGCTTTTATTGTTTTTAAAGTCTATTATTGTTGTGAGCTGCCCAAAGTTATGTTCTACAAGATGGGTGGCCATATTAATGTTTTAAATAAATAAATAAGCAATTTTGCAACTCCCCTCTAAATTGCTCATGAGCCTCTGGGGGTTATGACCCCCAATTGAGAACCACTGAGTTAGGATTCTCTGTATCTCTGTATTTCCTTAATTGGGAGGCCCTTCAGGCAGTAACTCACACCCTGATCACCTCACCACTGGATTATTACAATGTGCTCTACACGGGACTGCCCCTGAAGACCACCTGGAAGCTACAGCTGCTCAAAATGCAGCAGTAATGGGTGCCTGTCAGCATGCCCACGTGTACCATTGCTCTGTGAGCTGCATTGGTTGCCAGTTGGCTTCTGAGTGCAATTCAAGGTGCTGATTATTACATCTAAAGCCCTCATGGCATAGGGCCTGGATATCTGAGGGGCCACTTGTCTCCAATAGTTTCTGCCTCGCCAGTACATTCCAGCATTGCAGGTCCACTCTAATAAACATTGTCATCTTGTGGGACCAAAGAAGCATGCCTTCTCTGTCATGGCCCCACCCTCTGGAACAGCATCCCCCCAGGGATAAGGACAATGCCCTCTTTTCTGGGGTTCTGGAGGGCTCTTAACACCTGGCTTTGGTCCCAGGCCTGGGGTTAATGTATTCTTGTATTTTGGCGGGCTCTATTTTGTTTTATTTTATTTCTGTTGCTTTTAGATCATTGTAGTCCTGGCTGTGTGGTTTTAGGTTTTATCTGTTTTTATGGATTGTTTTGTTTTATTTTGTATGCTACCCAGAGCCCATTGGAGTTGGGCGGCTATAATATATTTAAATAATAAATAAATAAAACTCGCTAGCGATCATTTGGATGTTTATCACCGAGATTTAATTGCTATTTGCTGTACATTCTGAGAATCATAGAGTTGGAAGGGGTTGCAGAGATCATCTTGTCCAATGTCTCTTCGGTACATGAGCTGCTAGGGGTTTTTGGACTGGTAGCTATCAAGTCTGTGTTTGAAGACCTTCATTGAAGGGGAACATAACAATTCACAAAACAACATATTCCACCGATAGCTTTTAGCATCAGGAAATTCCTCCTATTATCTACTCTGAATAATCTTCTCTGTAATTTCAACCTGCTGGTTTTGACTCTGCCTTCTTAGATAACAAATCTATTTCCTCTTCTATATGACAACCCTTTAGCTATCTAAAGTCTAATGGTCCCTCAGTATACTATTCTGCAGGCTAAATAAAGGCAGTTTCTTTAACCATTTGTCATAGGACTTGGTTTCTAGTCTGCTCACCATCTTGGTAGCCCTACACTCAACTCAGTCCAGTTTGTCAATGTTCTTATTAGACTCTGGTGCCCAAAATGGTATTCCAAGCAGGCCCTGACCAAGGCAGAGTAAAGTGGAGACAATCACTTCCTATCATCTGGGCTTTATGTGATTAAGAAATCGCAAAACAGCACTTCTTTTTTTAAAGCTGCATTACACAGGTGGCTCATGTTCAACTTCTGAACTACTAGGACCACCAGAACTTTTTCAGCTGTACTACAAGCCAGGTCTCCCCATCCTAGACGTATCCCTTTCAATTTTTTTTCTCCTCAGATGCAGAACCCTATTAAATTTCCTTCTATTTGTTTTGGCCCATTAATCAAAATGTGGAACAGTAAAATACACCTGGCATTGGAGAAGGAGCTGTAAACTCCGGCTTCCTAAGATAGTCATGTATGATCTTGGAAAGACAGGTTATTAGACAATCAGGAAAAAAAAATGTTGAAAATAGAAGCTATGAAAAGTGGAATAAGCCAAAGAAATGTTTTATGAACTGTGTTTGGAAAAAACTTCATAGACCTCAGAAAGTATTATCTAACAGAAGCAAAAGAAACATATACATTTACATCTGCAAGGATCACTTTGTCTCCCAAATATGCTCATGAAGCAGGACCCAGGGCTTACTCTGAGGGTAGGACATGGTCAATCTACTTTTTTTTTTTTTTTAATATAGTTTCTTCTAGGTCTGTGCAGAAGACTGTAATAGTCTTTTGTTCATTTTTCACTTCCTCAGTGAGTGCTTATTGGCCCAAGATATTAGAGGGAGCAATGTGTGCAGTAAGAATACTTGCCCTTACCTCTTTGTGGATATTGCATCCCACGGATCCTTGCCTCTCCCACAGCATCCCTCCCTTTGATCCTTTCTGATGCCTGATGTTCCCAGGGCTCAAAGTTAGCCTGGGAAGCTGTGAGTGTTGGGAAGGGGTTTCTCATGTGGATGTCTCCCTCTTTCTAACCATGAAAGTGGGCAAAGCAATGCATTATATAATTTATTGGGCACTTTTCCAAGGACAAGATTGCAGCCTATGCATCTTTTTATTGAAGATTTGGTGCACTGTGTATTGATGTGTGTATTTTCCTTTTTGCTTGCATTTAAATAGCATCCTGTGATATGTTGATGATGCCCTATGAGCTACTTTTTGCTGCAACAGACTAGCACCTGCAGAAATACTTTTACTCAGGTTTAACTTGAGCTGCATGTACTTTGAAAAACTGAGTTTTTGCATTAATTAAAAGATGCTTTAAAGTTCTTTCCCCACTTTGTTTATTGAATGTGTATATGCATGAAATTTTTCAGTTTCTATTTGATGCAATAGAGAGAAAGATCTGAGAAAAGAAAGACAAGGGCCTGATTGATCCCCTACTTTTCTATTTAACAATTAGTCCCATTAAGTTCCATGAGTCCTTCTCCCAGATAAGGGAGGATGATGACAGTATTAAGGTCTATACCAGCCACAAACTTCTCACTCACTTTGCAAACACCATCTTATATGGCATATTCCTAGTTTTGGATTAAATATCTGAACAACTTTTGTGTTCTCTAATGCTCAGAAACAGAACATTGTTTTCTTATGTTTAGAGGTGAATGAAATAGCCTTGCCATTCTCAATAATAGCGCTACCTTTGATTCTAAAAGCCAAACCAGAGAACTCGTTTAGTGTATCTTCTTTTTCCTTTGTAAATAACAGCTGGGGACAAATCGGAATTGGGACCATAACATATGAGCTTCATTTCTCGTTGTTTGCACCATTATTCCATAAATATTTAGATAGATATATTCAGATTAGATAGATAGATAGATAGATAGATAGACAGACAGACAGACAGACAGACAGACAGACAGACAG